TTGCTGAGAGCCGCAGAGGGATTAGTTTTTGGGCTATCATACACAGCAACCAAAAACACAGCACTATGCTCTCTTGCTAGATAGTAGGGCCGGCATTTCAAAAACTCTTTGTCTGGCGAATAGTGCTTATAAACAGTCTGTACATCTCCACACCATGAGTTATTGATAAACACACACACATCACCTCCTTTTACCTTCCCTGAAGCAGCAGTGTGATCACCTCGATGTACAGTGTGTGTTTGTAGCTGAATTGCGGAGTCTGAAACTCTGTCAGAAAGCCAAGTCTTGGTGAGAATTAGAGCACAGCATTCTCTGATTTCCTGCTGTGTTGTAATCCTAGCCCTTAGCTCGCCCAGTTTGTTTTCCAGATACTGTACGTTAGTTTATCTCCACATTTACACAGGTTGAAATGATAGAAAATCATTTTCAGGTTCAAACAGTTAACACTGAACAGACACAACAAATAACTAACAGCACAAAAAGATAAAACCTAGTAACAACAAGATGAATTGCTGGCTCCTGTTCTGATCACAGCTCACCTCAAATCTGCATCGTCCACGTGCGGCAGGTGACACTTCTGGTGGAAGGAGCGAGGGCAGTGATCACACAGCACCAGCTCTGCTGCTTCTTCACCACATTTACAGATGTAACACTCATCGTCGTTTTCCCGATTCTTCTGCCAGGACACAGTAAATGACAGCAGCTCTGTTTACACCAGTGGCGGGCCGTCAGGGCCAGCAAGGCCTTCTCTGCTGGCCTAAACACTATTAGAAGCACTGACCTACATTTACAACCAAAATTCTAATATTTGTTCCATGAAATTGTATTAATTTATTCCCAACAGTCTGTTCTCTTCATTTCGTAGTATTTCTCTTGGCTGCACCGCTTCCAGTACGTGTATGTGGATGTTAGATTTTTTGTCCAATCAGATTTCAGCCTCTATGTGTTGCCATGTCAATCTAATCTGCCCAGGGCCTTCAGAATCAGAAGTGCTGGCCCATGTAACTTAAACTATATTAGCAATGGGACTGTT